CCTCCCTTCCCTTTTTCCCCTCTCTCTTCTTCTCCTCTCCCAATGTTTCTGAGTCTAATTAAGTCATCATTACCCAGAATGCATTTCGTATATTCTGTGATTGACTAGAGTGACACAGTTACATGTGCACAGTGTACAAAAAATAAAATGGTGACCTGTTGTAGGTCAGTAAACCAATCCAGGGATTAACTTGAAATCACTTGAGATGTCAATTATTGTAATTATTGTATGTTTTGTTTTTAGATTCACGGCGAATGTCTGAGCTGATTTCTTATTTGACTAAATTACGTAGTGCTAATGAGAAACAAGACAAAAGCCGATCAAAAGAGGTAAGCATAGAGTAATGTTAGCATATTTTGGTTAGTGATTGCAATAGTTTTAAGTCTACCCATTTTTCACTTTGCTTTATGCTGTGATCTTGACCATTTGTCTCTAAACTGTTGCTGTTGGGAGGCATGTACTACATGTACGATTAAAACCAGTGAGCAAATTACTGATTGGATCAGTATGTTCAGGAGTAGATTTCTTGAACGTAGAGGGAGCAGAAATTTGAATAATAAAAAAAAAACGAAAATATTTGTAATACTCTTGACAGCATATGTATGCCATATTTAAATCTGTCTGTTAAAACTCAGTTTTATATTAAGGCGGAACGAGTATTGTTTTTTTATTCAGTCCTTATTTCCATTACAGGCAATATAATTTAATCAGTGCACTCTAACAATATTATGATGTACATGTATATCTGTATCAACAATAATGCCAATCCCAAATCCCAGCAAATGAATTAGCGAAGTTTCAGGAAATTTGTATCCAAAAGTTTTTTTTATTCTGTGTGTCATTTGCATGTCAATATGCCGATCTTGATATGATTTTATTCTCTGTCTTCTTTCAGCATCCTGGTGGAATTTTCTGTCGTATTGATGCACAGTTTAGAAGTAGTCAACAAATGTCTAAACCAAACAGTTCTGGGATGATGGGACAGGCAAGGTAAGATATGCACTAGTAGTTTACGATCTAAACCTAGTAAACTTGTGAATATGTCAAATTCGAGAACATATATCTTAACTGCAAAAAAGTATGAACTTGAACATGTTTGAATATATGAACACTCCATCTATAGTAATTGAATTCATGCTCCTTAATCTTTTTATAACTGACTCCATACCTCTTAAGGTAGAAAGCTACACAGAAGTAAAAATAGTGTCATTTTTTGTTTTTAAATATTTCATATATCATGTTACAAAGATTAAGAAAATGAAATTAAATTTTTTTTTTTGCTTTTTATTATCTAAACAGTCTTGGCTATAAATTTTGTAGAATTGTGAATAGTGGAACATACTCAAAAAACGATTTTAAAATATAGATGACAGGTGCAAACAATCTCTCCTTTGAATGCTTAGTAAGATTCAGCATAGCTGTACATGATTAATAAAAAAAAAAGAAATGCCGGGATCTCTTTTTATTATGCACTATATTTAACTTTTAACAAAACGATAATACATTTACTGAGTGAATTATCTCAGCTTCTTTTTAGTGTACATCTGAGAACTTTAAAAAACCTTTTGTTTTGAAATTTTCACAAAAGATTGACAATGTGTTTATCTTCAAAACACTGTCGGGGCATTGATTTTGGTTGAACAGTGTTACAACAATTATACAGATAACTAGCCTGGGTGTTAATATATGCATAAACTTGAAGTAGTGAAATTTGGGCTGCTGCCCTGCAAAATTGACAACTAGTAGACAGTTTTCAAGACGGCACTTTCTTCATAGTAAACAGATGTACCCATAAACCAATTTTGACAGGAAACAGGAGCATGGTTTAGGAGCTAATTTTTTTTAATCACCTTTGACCAAAAAAGCACATTTTTGTGCATAATTCAAACTACAGTGACCATTAAAAAAATACTAACAAAATTTTAAAATTCATACAATAAGCTTTCCGAAAATATATGGTTTTGTGGACAAGGGAGGTCATCTTGGTTTCCTAATTAACTAATTAAAATATCTGTCAGGTAAACTGCATCTCTACCTTAATATAATATAGTGAAAATAACATGTTTTGTCTACTTTAGGGCATTTTACCATTGTTTTCTATGACAAGGATATGTCTCAACATCTAAGAATTTTGCTCAGTGACGTATCGTGAAAAAAATTATATAGTGTCTCACAACTTTTTGGTACAAACATTGTCAATATTTTCGTTTTTTTTAAAGGGAAATATATTTTACTGTTTTTCAAAACTGAGATTGACTGTGAACCAAAAAAGCTCACACATTGTTGAATAATACTTAAATGAATAATTGTTGACAAATTTTGACTCAAAATATTGCTACTCGTATATATTATACGCACATGTAACATTCAACCTTAACCAGGCTTCTTTCTGTTTATTATCTTGTAGATCCAAGACACGTACAGGAATGGTACGACTGACATAATGTGGAACTTAATTTCTACTATGTACAACAATTTGAATATAGTTATATGTTGTGTTGTATTGAATTTACACTGCTCTCTGAGATTATTCATATGTGAATTATTTTATTGTTATTGTTTATTTGTGAAAATGTGAATATTTGATGATTCCCCTGGATTCGCCTTTATCCCAAATCACTGCGTGCTATAGTTGAACATCATTTATAGGCAATGGCAAATGAAATTCTAAAAAGCTGGCAAGCTGAGACAATGACCAACAATGATATAAATAAACTTACTACATTGTCTTATTTATGTTGGTGTTTAATTGAACCATATTATACCTATTTCTGGCGAAGAATCCACCTCCTTCTTTTACATGATATATTTTTATATAGACTAGTCGTAAAACCTTGTCTTTGTACATTTGATTGTTCCGAACAAAAAATTGTGAATGTTATGTGAAAACACAGGAATATATGTACCATAGTTTTTGGAAAATGTGTTGGCTCTGAAAAGGTTCTTTTACATGTACATTGTGCTGGGGAGTATATTTAACATGTAAATGTTGCAGGAAATGATTTATCATGACTGTGAACAATCTCTTTTTCGCCATGTTGACATAATGTATCATTCTAAATTCCTGGAGAGAGGAATGTACAGGTGTTTTAGGTTTACAATTGCAATTCCAAATCTAAGAAATCTGTACCCAAAGATTAGTGTGATTGTTAGTGGAATCTAATGTATTGTTTAAGTTGAAATATACATGCAAGAACGTTGCCCTAAAAGGCACATAAATATGCGACAACATAGATTAAAATTTCTAGCTTGACCCTTTGAGTGTCAAATGATTTTTCTGCTAAAATATGGGTAAATTTGTTCACAGTTTCTGTAATTTTCCCTGTATTCGATCCCATCTTCGAACCAAACAGTCAAAATGTGATATTACTTCACATTCTTAATCAAAATATTTTTACAACATCTTATTTGGAAAAGAGCTCAAACTATTATTCAACTACTTTGTAGATGGTGCCTTCGGGGTTCAAAGGGTTAATGCTGTACTTCTAATTCGGGTATATATATTGTATAAATTCTTGTAATTATTATTTAAACTTTGCACACTCAATGAAGATATATTTATTGTTCTGTTGAATTTGAATTATTAAAATTAAATTAGTTTAACTGAGACAGTTTTGTTGATTATATTACTCCTGAACTTTCAACACATTAAAGCCATGGAATATTCTCTCATTCAGAATTATTTTTATGCATATAATATATAACTTTAATATTTGTCTGTTATGTTTTTTGTGTGCTGTGATTTAAGAAAATAAATACATTTTATGTTCTAAAGTAATTTCAACTATTCCAATAGCAAGATGACCATGCTGTAATCAACATGAAGAAAGGGATTTGAGCATCGTCACTTAGAATTAACGTTTTAATCCATTACAAAAAAATACCAAATGCAAAAAATATGGTTTACAGAATATTGCTCTTTTTGGAATTTCTGAGATAAGTAATGCAGTTCAACTGTCTCACACATACGTTCACTAGACAACCATGCATATTATATTAGTCATATTAAACTGATATCATTAACATTGTGCTGAATCACAATGTTAGGCAGATTGGATTGTATTCAGACACTTGCGCATGTCAAGTCTGATGTGATTTGGCTAGTTTGCTTGTAAATCAATTTGTAGCTATTATTTTGTTATGATTTGAAACTGCTTTTAAAAAAATATTATACACTTTCATGTATTGTTGAATTTGTTTTGTACTTGAGTTAATAAAATGCACCTTTAAGTTCAAGTGTGATAGTAACCTCTAAGTCGTAGAGACTTGTATCCCCTGTCATGGTTAAAAGTTTTCCTTTGTAATTTTGCAATAATGAATTCACCAAATGACCCAAATATGGATGTTTTACTCTCTGTTGGGTTGTGTCACATTCTGTGTTAGCCATTTCTTCAAGCTATTTTGCACAACGTATTTTGTACTCTAACTTAATGTAACTACTAACAGAGAATAGTGTAGTTTTGGGTTTACCTTTGATGGCAATCTCGGCTCAAAAACACTTAAGAACATCATGCAAATTCAGTATTGACGTCCCTTATGGTAGCTTACTGATGCACGTCATTTATAGTTTCCTGAGAACGAAGTCCGAAAATAGGAACTTATGGATTGAACTGTGTGTGCGTTTGTGTGCTCGTACATCGATCATGACGGACACATTTACATGTTTTCGTTTGATGATCAGATACGAATGGCAGCTATTTTAATGTTAAAAATTCAGCAACATATATCATTTCTGCAATTTCAGAACCTGATCTCGTTCATGTATGAATTTATTTCATGCATACATTGGACATTATGAGATCTTGATGCGCATCATTTTGTTTTTCAAATCGACCAGAAATCGCCGACTAACTGTCATTTTGTTTAAAAAAATGCTGTTTTGCACTCATACCTATGACATGCTGTTACTAATCTTATTCAAACTTTATGTATACATCATACACATATTTGAATATTACAAAGTGTTTACTTTCATTTACTAAGCAATAGTAGAATGCACATTTTTGAATATTACAATGTTTTTATTTACTAAGCAGTAGTAAAATAATGCACATTTTTGAATATTACAATGTGTTTTCTTTTATTTACTAAGCAGTAGTAAAATAATGCACACATTTGAATATTACAATGTGTTTACTTTCATTTACTAATCAATGGTAGAATGTACATTTATGAATATTACAATGTTTTTAGTTGCTAAGCAGTAGTAAAATAATGCACAAATTTGAATATTACAATGTAAAAACAAACTAAGTAGAGCGATTGAACAAATAGGCATCACAAAGACAAACGATCAATGCGCTTTTTAGTCGCAGCTAAGTTGACAGGTATATACTTGAACACCAGTCATGGTTCTTTCATACGTGTGTGATAGGCAAGATCGACAGTCGTGGCCACATGCGGCACAATCAGTGCCATATGTATGAATACGACCAGGGGCTACTATCTTTCTGGCGAATCCCAGACACTTGCCACACTATGAGAAAAAAAGAAACACATTTTCAAAATGCTGTTCTAAAGTTAGTTAAACACCACAGTCAGTATAAAATGCCCTATCCAACGTATCCATTATACAGCACGAGTTAACTATAACAGTTTATTTAAAATTTGAAGCTATGCTGCATGTTGGTTGTAGCGATCTGACATTTTAGGATACTCTTCTAGAGGCAGACGACTAACAGTGGTACTAGTATTTGTCAAAAACAATTTGGAGGATCAACTATTTATGACCTTAAACATCCAGAACTAATTATCAATTAATCAGTATTCTGGTAAATGTAGAGAGCAACCAACTAGCCAGAATATTAATTGACTAATTATAAAATTTTAAAACTATATTACATTGAATTGGCAACATTTTCATTCAGAGTTCAGTGGATAAAATGTAAAGAAATCAGTAATTAAATAGGTTGTCATACTGTACGTTAGTAATTGTTGTGCCTCGCATCTCTGAAGTGAGAATACTTGAAAAATTATTTCGATCAGTTATAATTATGTTATTTCGTAATTATATGTTATGTCAATACTAATGTTACTGTAACATTATTTATATAATACTGTCACATTATTCTGCCATTATTTAACTATTTCGACATTAATATTAAATTACTGTCAGTGCGATTGATTGCTGTCTTTATTTCAACATTATTATAATATTATTTTTCAATTATTTGCTTATTTCAACATTATTTGGTGATGTAGTATGTGTGATATTCGCTGTGATATACATTGTATACACCTACCCAAATAAAACATATCCTATTAACCTACCGGAAACTGTTATTAAGTTTCCGGTGGGTTCTATTGTTCTTCGAGGAAGCAGTGAAAAATGTAAATGATATGCAAATTATTATATTCTGAACAACTATTTCCAATCCAAATAGACCACAATGACAAGTACAGTATGTGTAACCTTCAATTACATTGTCCAGTTTGTACAAATTACGTCGTCATTACAATTTGCGCTTGTACAGATGATGATAGTTTAGAAAATTACATGATTTGGTATGGCCGTGAAAGTTGACTTTTGGTCAGCTCCTTTATTAAATCAATGAAGCAATATGATATGACCAAAACAGAATAGGTTACTGTTTTACACTATTCACTAGTAACACCTACATAATAATACCTAATTGTGTGGTTAACTATTCAATATAGCTGCTACTGGTCAAGCGAGCTGTCGACTTATTAACAATATAATTAATACGGGCATCGACTTTTAATAAAATCCATGTACTTACTGATGGTTGTGGGGGTGGGGGAGGTGATCGTCGTCGTCGTCTCCAGCTTTGAGAGTCTTCAACAAACATCAGAGTTATTATTAATACAATGGTGAACACAGTTAACGTTTTCATCTTGTGTAGTTCTTAGTGAATAACTGAAAAAAAACACACAAAAAACCAAAAACAATTTTACGTTACTTATT